CCTGGCTGGCAATTCTTTATTATTGGGAGCTGAATTAAGAACCAATTAGAACAAATTAAGAACCATTAGAATCAATTTCCAGCCGGGCAGTGGTGGCGCACGCCTTTAATCCCAGCACTTGGGAGGCAGAGGCAGGCGGATTTCTGAGTTCGAGGCCAGCCTGGTCTACAGAGTGAGTTCCAGGACAGCCAGGGCTACACAGAGAAACCCTGTCTCCCAGCCACTACTGAATTTCTTCCAAAATTTATTGTTGTTGTTTTACATTTACTTTTCTGTGTATGACACGTGGGGGTCAGAAAAACAACGTTTTTTTTTTTTTTTTGGGAGTGGGGGTTGTTTGTTTGTTTTGAGACAACAAACAAGGTCTATGTGAGGTCTTGGACCTCACTATGTAGACCAGGCTGGCCTCAAACTCATAATGATCTGACTGCCTCTGCCTTTCAAATACTGGGATTAAAGATGTACACTACCATGCCTGGCCTAGAAGACAACATTCAAGTGTTAGTTCTCTCTTTCCAATGCGTAGATCCCAGGGATCACATTCAGGCCATCAGACAGTGCTCCTTACCTGCTGAGCTCGGGGAGGTTTAGAAGTGCCCAGCCATTGAGCCAGTCAGGGCATATCAAACTTAGCAGTGTGTGTGTGTATGTGTGTGTGTGTGTGTGTGTGTGTGTGTATGTGTGTGTGTGTGTCTCATTCATGAATCCAGATCTCTTGAGCGGGTGCAGCACTCGACCCACCTGGAGCCAAAGTGGATTAACTAATCTGCACTCCTCTTCATAGCCCAGTAGGAAATTATTTTAGAAGCCAAAGATCTTGGATATTCCACTTGTAAATAAGCCACTATTGACAACATGAAGACAAAGGGTCTCAGCTGCACCTGCAGTGTGGCAGGCTTTGGATTTGGGTTGGGTTTTTTGTTTTTTTCTAAATCACATTGATTGGTTTAGAATATGTGTGCGTGTATGGGCACGTGTCCCACATCCCACCTCTCTCTCTCTCTCTCTCTCTCTCTCTCTCTCTCTCTCACTCTCTTTGTGTGTGTGTGTGTGTGTGTGTGTGTGTGTGTGTATACATACATACAAGTGCCATAGAGTGTATTTGGAGGGCAGATGCCAGCTAGCCAGAGTCAGTTCTCTTTACATAGCAAGTGGATCCCAGGTTGACGACAGTCTTGAAGGCAGATACTTTTACCTACTTTTACCTGCTGAGCCATCCAGCTGGCTAGGTCTTTGTGTTCTAGTGCACTTACACGTCTTCATTGCTTCAGAGAATGCAGTAATGAACCCAGTAGCTTTCTTGATTCATACCTGTGTACAGAAGCTCATTCCAAGAACTACCTTTGTCAAAATCCTTGTACACAGGATCATCGCTCACTTTCTCCCATAGTAGGTATACTGCACGTTTGAATAGCAGAATGGCAGATGGCCACAGGACAGTGAAGTAATTAGGAATACTGGCTGAATTCATGACTGGGAAGGGCTTTGGAGCTCTAGAGAAGGAACAGGGGAGTGAGGCAGCTTGTGCGCAAGTGTGTTGTCTAAACTGCTTCAGGGTTCTGCAGCATAGGCTGAGTGGTCACGCGCCACCAACATCTCTCATCAAGTTACTGTTGCCAAATTCTGTAGTAGATAGGCAGTGCAAAAAAAACATTTAAAAGCTTTAGGCCTCATCAGAGCTTCACAAGGAAGGAAAGAACAAATCCAGGAATTGTTACTTCAGGGACCAATTTGTACAGAGGAACTTATCTTTAGGGTTTGCCAATTTTTTGAAGAACAAAACTCCAGTCTTTCAGCTAAACTGAAAGAACAAGTTTTCCTAGTGAAATCTGAATACCCAGTGGTTCATGCTATGCAGGAACTCAGCAACAGGGCCTGTGACGTCATCGTGTTGTTATAGAGGATAAAGTCATCCTCTGTAAGACCTGGATGATTTTGTTTGCTCCTTGGTGACAGGGAATACCTCCCATTCAAGATGTGTTCATGCACTGACATCCCAGCCTACATGAGAAAACTAATGGAAGGAAGCTAGCCAGTAAGCATGGCTAGGGGGCTCAGTGAGACAAAGAAAGCAATAGGAATGGTCTTTAAACAACAAAAAACTGATAAGAAAAACACAAAATTTAAAAAAAGCATGTCTTTTCCTTAAAGTGTTTCTAGACACAACCTTATTTTGCCTAAGAATTTCCTCCTTCTTGTGTTTGTTGTGTGCATTTGTGCGTATGAATGTGGCCACAGGTGTGCAACAGAGTGCATGTGAAAGTCAGCTGACAGTATTGGGCGTTGGTCCTCACCCCCCACCTGTTTTGAGACAGTCTCTTTATTGTTTTTCTACTGTATAGCCAGGCTGGGTAGCCCATAATCTTTTAGGCATTCTCCTGTCTCTGTACCTCTTATCTCCTCATAGGAGCACCGGGGTGGCAGAGGCTCCAGCTACATGTTCTGATGTACATATGTTTCTTCTGCTCTCTGTTTTAGGGTATGTAACTAGTACTGGAATTATGGAGAAACCATAAAATTGTTTTCCAGAAAGGCTACTATGTATTTTCTCAATAATGTATAAGGGCCCCAGGTTCTCCAAATCTTCACCAACCTGTCTCTCTCCTTCCTTCTTAGTAGACAATCTAGGAGATAGGAAGTGGTGCTTGATTTGTATTTCCTCAAAGATTAGTGATAGTTTCCGTGTTGATTCTTCCATTATATTTAATTAAAACCTTATTACAAAAACCCGCCAAATAAAAGATACTATATCTTTTATTAATGAGACCCAAGACATCCGTATCAGTGAACTTGAATACAGTGAGAGCAGCCATCCTGTAGTTAGCTTCACACTGGATTTTACGGCCTGAGTCTATATGCCTGGAACCCATATGTTAGAGGAGAACCAGCTCACACATGTTCTCCTCTGACCACCACACGGATGCAATGGCACACATGTCTCCCTCCATCCCAAATAAATGAATAAGTAAGTAAGGAGTTAATTAAAAAATTAAAATAGGGCTGGAGAGATGGCTCAGCGGTTAAGAGCACTGACTGCTCTTCCAGAGGTCCTGAGTTCAAATCCCAGCAACCACATGGTGGCTCACAACCATCCGTAATGAGATTGGATGCCCTCTTTTGGTGTGTCTGAAGACAGCTACAGTGTACTCATCAATACAATAAATAAATAAATATAAAAAAAAATTAAAATAGAAAAAGCATATTGTATTAGAGACTCATAAATGAGAGATAATGGGCCTGTGTTGCATTGGGAATAGAATCACAAAAAGACTATTGCATTTGAGAACATTGCATTTGAGGTAATATTTCAGACTACACTGAAGGGCTGGGAGATAGCTCAGTGGTTAAGAGCACATACTTACAAAGGGCCCAAATTTAATTCTTAGCATTCACATCAGGTGACTCTCAACTGCTTGTAACTCTACCTCCAAGGGGATTGAAAACCTCTGGCTCTGTGGGCACTTGCAGTCTCATGTATGTGTGTGCACGCACACACACACACACACACACACTTAAAGAAATATCAGGATACTCAGGATATGATTTCATCATTATTAATTCCTTAACATTGTATTCTATGATCTAGACACTAATGTTCTGCCCTGAATATAAAACACACATTGGGACTGTTTTTTGCAGAACAGCTTTCTAAATTTGGGATACAGCATCATCATTTTAGACTCCATTTTCTGGAAATGTAGTCTGCTCCATTTCTCTATGTTGGCTCATTTGCTGTATTCTTCATTTTCCTTCTGTAAAATGACAATGGCGTTGCTATAAACTTCATGGACAGATTAACCCTTTCATAACTTTAAAAGCCTCTAACACCACATCTTGCCAGATGTTCCCAACTGACCCTGTAGTGTATTAAAAGTTGATTTCTGTGGTAATTTTCCATGAGAAGAGTATTTAATCTGTGTTTTATTGCAGCACTGTTAATATTAGGAAAACTGACTTTATCCTAAATGGTAACATATTCCATTAAGCATGATAGATAGACATCCCCTGAGTGGGCTTGTCTGTGAGAAGGGAAATGTGCTAGATGATTCTTGAGATGCTTATGTGTTCAGTTCAGTGATCCCTGCCTTCCTTTTATATGGTCACCAAATGAAAATTGGAAGTTGGAATTACTCATGTCCCTCATTGCTTGCCACCTTCCGCTTAGTGTCTGTGTTACTACAAAAATGGACATGTTCTACACTTGACATTTTCCCGTCAGGGAATTTAGGAGTTTTCTGGAGTCTAAAAGCTGCCCTTGGTGGTGACGATTACTGGATAATTGCCTATACTCCTATGGAATTTCCATTTTCAGATTACACTGGACTCTACAGCTTCTATTTCTTTGGCAGGAAAACCCCAAGGCAACAGAATACATTTTTTCTCCTGTCTCTGGCCTAGTTTAAACAGTGACTCACATGGGCCCTGGGGCTTTACTTCCTAGTCTCATCTGGGGGTCACTTTCTACCCTTGTTTTAACTGGTCTCTAGTATTTCTTTGGAATTCTTTATATCCTATGGTACATAGGATGTGTCTCTGAGTTATACTTGGGGTGTACACAGTGCAGTAGTAGCCCTAAAGTAAACTACAGTCCAGGTCTGTTTTCAGCCATGTCAGCCTTGCAACAGCCAGGATAGGTTGGGTAGTACTGAGGATGTCTTTAGGGAAGCAAGGCCTGTTCAGGCTGTTTGCAGTGCCAGTGGAGGGAGGGAAAAGTATTCCCCAGAAAACTCGAGTAGTGGTTTCATCCAAGTAATGACAAGGATGCTTTGTTAACCTTAAAACTTCCCTGGGAGGCACACTCAGAAGAGGTGGACATGACTTTCCAGAGGGCTTTCTCATAGGAGGACTTAATCTAATCTGTAGTTCAGAGTCGTGTTAGTGGAAAAAACAGACACCTCTTCCTTGTTCATAAGTGGTTCTGTCTGATTTTACCTTTCCATTCTGGGTCCAGCCTTTTGAGTCTCATCTAATGAGGAATTCTTCATTTTTTCTCTTTTCAGTTTTAACAGCGTATGCCAAGGAACTCACATTCTCTTCCGGGAATTCAGCTTTATACAAGCCACACCTCATAACAGGGCATCCTTCCTTCGAGCTTTCTGGAGATGCTTCCGAACTGTAGGCAAAAATGGTGGTAAGTGTTCGCAACTCCATTTTGCCCCATTTCCAACCACCCCCTTTCTATTCTTTCCAAACATTTTCCTTTAAAAAATTACATTTATATATTGGATATGTGTTGATGTGTGTATTATGTAGGTTGCAAAGCGACCCATTCAGGCTGTTTGGAATGCATGTTTGGAGATAATGGTGCATATTTGAAAGTGGTCTTTGATCTTACTGCGGTTTTTGTTTGGGTGCCGTAACTGATGCCTGTACAAGACAATGAACTTCACATTAATGCTGTACATGTTCTGAATGTTCTGCAATGAGCCCCATCCCCATCTCACTCCCTCTTCTTAGGCCTCTTTGCTCTCCACGATACAAACATTGAAATTAGGCAATTACTAACCCTATAGTGTCCTCTAAGTGTGGAAGGACTAAAAAATAAAATAAAGGGTAGCATTGTATCACTTGAAATCAGAACCTAAAAATGATCAAACCCTGAGAAAAGCCAAAGCAAAGCCTTTAATATCTGTCAGCCGATTGTGAGTGTGAAGGAGAAATCCTGAAGGAAATATTTCTGGGATACAATTATATGGTAGGAAAAAAAAAGACAACTGTTGAGCTGGACATGGTAGCACATACCTGTTAATCCCAGTGTTTGAGACGCTGAGGTAGAAGGCTCATGAGTTCATGTAGCCTGCACTATATAGCAAGACTTCAAAACATATGGGGGAGAGGAGGCTGAGAGTAAATTCAGAGACTGAGAATCCTTGTTGCTCTTGCAAAAGACCTGTATTCAGTTCCCAGCACTGACACAGTGGCTTACAACCTTCTGTAACTCCAGTTTCAGGAGATCCAATGCTGTCTTCTGATCTCTGTGGGCAACAAGCATAACATGGTATACATATATTCATGAAAGGAAAACACCCATACACATCAAATAAATATAAAAAAAATTAAAACACATATAGGGAAGAAAGGAAAATGACAGTAAGGAGGGAGGGAAAAGAGTGAGGGAAGAAGGGGGGAGGAAGAAGGGAAGGGAGGAGAGAGAGAGAGAACATAAACACAAGCAGCTTACTGCTACTAAGGAGGAAGCTTTAGTGGTCAGCAGTGGTCAGAATATAAGATTAAACTAACGACAATATTCCCTTGAGCCAAAACTGGTGACTCAGAGAAACTGCAGATGTCTGATGCTAGCAAAGGGTAGTTCATGGGTCTTAGGAAAGAAACCACCTCTGTGTCACAAAACGACAGCTGACAAAGAGTGACCCAAAACAGCAGATTTTTAGGTAGAAAAAACAGCTTTCTGTTGGAAGAAGATGCCATCCAGAGCTTTCATAGATCAAGAGAAGTCAGTGCATGTGTTCAAAGCTTCAGAGGACAGACTGCCTCTCCTCTAAGGACTGATGCAGCTGCAACTTTAGTTGAAGCCAGTGCTCATTCTGAAAATCCTAGGGCCTGTAGTCCAGCCAGAAGATACATACACAGTAATGTGCTAAGCACACCTGGACACCTCTCCCTGCAGGCTTCCTGCTGCTGTTAGCCTAATGAACAAGTCCTGAATCACTCTGCTCAAAGGTGGCCTAACAGTCCAATGCTAAGATGCATCTCATGTTGATTAATGCAGTCACTCCCAGTACTGCACACCTTTAGTCCCATCCCTCAGAAGGCAGAGCCAGGCGGATCTCTGAGTTCAAGGCCAACCTGGTCTACAGAGTCAGTTCCAGGACAGCACTCAGAAGGAAGACAGGAAAGTCAGTTCTGGCTTGTCCTTGGCTACATATTACGTTCAAGGCAACGCTGGGCTATGTGAGACCCTGTTTCAAAAAATAAATCAACAAAAATATCATTCGTGATTCATGGAAGGAGGTTCAAATATCAACAATAGCAACAGTTTGGAAGAAGTTGATTCCAACATGCTTGGATGATCATGAGACATTCTAGTCTTGAGGAGAGAAGGTTACTGCGGAAATAGAGAAATGGCAAGAGACCTAGAATTGGCTGTGGAACCTGTGGGTGTGAGGCAACTGACGTGACCTCATCCCAAACACTGGCAAGAAGCTGCTGCTTTTCATGAGTGAGCAGAGAAACTGTCTCGACAGTGAGTCTTCTCTGCCAGAGACAGGCAGACAAATCGTGTGGGAAATGCAGAAGAGGATTTAGAATCTGCTTCAAACTCAGTTACTGGGACAGTGCCAGTTCTTGAGAGGGTTCAGTCCAATTTTGAAAGATTCTCCATTGTGTGTACAGTGCTATCAAACAGTATCCAAAGGGACAGAGATCTTCCATGGAAAGAAGAGCTGATATATGTGACAGATTTCACTGTTGTCTTATTTTAAGAATGTGCCTCAGCCACCCAGCCTCAGTCACCACCCTCTTGGCAGGTCAGCAGCCATCAACACTGAGGCAGGACCCTTCAACAACAGCAATAAAACCTCATCAAGGGCTCAGATGATCGTTAGCATTTTTCAGTGATAATGTATTTTAAGATAAGTATATATATTATAGTTTTAGACATTATACCTGTACACTTAGTAGACCATAGTATAGTGTGAATGTAAATGTAGGTAGTGTCCATGGAGATGGAAGGGCACTTTCTGTTATCAACTCTGGTTAGTGATCAGACTTGGGATCTAAAATGAGTTAGAAGTAAAGGTCTAGGTTCCTGGCCTGGGCAACTGAGGATGAATACTGGAGTTGAACTGGGTCTAATGGCACAGGCCTGTAACTCTAGCTCTCTAAAGGTTGCAGTAGAAGAACTCTAAGTAGCCCTGAGCTACAGAATAAGCAAAGAACAGCCTGGGCAATTTAGGCTAAATTCTTTTAGCTCAGTGGGAGTCACTTACTTAGAAGGTGGGAGGTCAGGGGTTCATTTCCTAGTGCCCTCCCCCAGATATTATAGATGAACAACAGATTTATTAAAGAAAATATTGTTTGACTTTTTAAAAGTTGTGATAGACTGTACATAGAAAAACTCTCATTTTAGCTGTTGTAATGTGCAGTTTTATGATGCTCATATTGTTTCATAGGCATCACCACCTCACAGCTCTAGCACTCTTGTACCTTGCAGGACTGAAATTCCCTACCTATTAAAGATAGCTCCTCCATTCTCTCTCATGGCTATCTCATATAGAATTATATAGAGTCACAGTGTTGTCCTTTGTGAACTGCTTAGTTCACCAAGTCTAATGTCTCAGAGTTTCTAGGGCTGAGGCTGCACTTCAGGTTGGTAGAATGCTTGCCTACCAGGCACAGACCCTGGGGCTGATCCTCAGCACTGCTTAAAACTGGCTTGGTGGTGCCTGCCTGTGACCCTATCACTCAGGGGGCAGATGCAGAAGAGTCATAAACTCAAGGCTATCCTTGGCTACCTACTGAGTTCAAGGCCAGATGAGCTACAAGAGATCCTTTTACAAAAATAAAATAAAATAGAATAAAATAAAATAGAATAAAATTCAGTTTAAATAGAGATCCTAACTTAAAGAAAGGGAAGGCCTAAGTCATTTCCTCAGTCAGCAAATACTTTTAGAGGTTCTCTGTATTAGGGTAAGTGGGTGGGCATAGCAGTCAGCTCTTCTCATTGAGCTTACAAGCTCCCTGATGCTGTTCTGGGCAGTGCTCAGCTTCTTTATGCATGGCCACTCAAACTGTTAAAGAATGGTCCAGTATCTGATTAGATCACTTCAACTATCCTAACAAACAGATAATAAGGGCATTATCTTGCCCATTTTGTAACTAATCAAATTGTATAACTTGGATGACTCCCTGTTAGAGAAGTTCACACCCATACTCTCAAGTGTTTCGTACTTTCTGAGCACCTTCTTTCTTATGTCTTATGCTTCAGCCTATAGTAAAATCATTAATAAAAATCTGGACTCTGTGGAAGAAAAGAAATGAAATAAATAAATGGGAATTGTTTAACTTGGAGGAGGGCTACATGGTTGGCCCACTGTCAAGCTGTGGTAGATCTGGATTCACTGATGTGCTCACACAAACCTTTTTCTTCTACTTCTACTTTGATTGCTGCTTCCTTGACTTGTAGTCCTAGAGATCACTCGTATCTGTTTTCCTGGGGCACAAGAAGTATCTGGTGTGCTGGCAATAACATCCTTGTCTTCACAGAATGAAAGGTGGACTCAACTTTTAAGTGAACCAGCTCTCTCTCTCTGGTCATTATGTAAACATAGACACCATATACTGTGAGTGTTTAAGTGAAGTCTAAAATTTCACCAGACTCTGTCTTTCTTAGTCCTTTCTTAGTTCCTTGGTCAGTCATAAGAGACTCATTGAAGAATGTAATGTTGAAGAATGTTGGATTGGTTTTGGTGATATGGCATATGGAGATAACTATGGAAAACAGTCCAAATAGCTTTATTTTTTTTTCTAATTTAGAAATTGGGCCTCTTCAGGAATGTATTTACTTTCACAGGGGAATCATATAGCATTTGAACTCTAAGCAGATGTGGATTTCTTTATCTTTCTAATCGCAGCTGCCTGTGGTGCATCCAGCTGCTGAGGGAAAGCAGCTCCCAAATTCTCTCTGATCCTCTCAGGCCATAAACAAGACCTTGATTTCAGCCTGGACAATCGTTTCTAGGTTTCTCAGTTATGCAGCTTCTGATTTCTTAAAGATCAGTTGCAAAATTTGTATCTAGTTGTGCCTAAAATCTTTCCTTAAACACTTTGATACTGTCTTTTTCCAGGAAACTTTGGAACACCTTCCAAAGTTTTAAACTGGAATGAGCAAAAGCTCCTGGAGGCAGAACTTGGAAGGAAAAGATTTATTAACCTCCCCCCACCTCCCAACTTCAGTTAGATGCCAGCACTGACTCAGCCAAGCTGCACTATGCTGTTCTGCTGCAGATAATTTCCTTAAAGCATCATGTTCATATTTTAGCATTAGCAGGAAGAGGCCAAACCTTCTGGGAGGTAGCAAAGGAGACTGGAGTGCAGCACATTTCTAAAATGAAGCCACCTGTAGAAACTTAGGGTGCTGACTCCACCAGCAAGAAACATTTTCTTCCAGTT